TGGTGGTGCCAAATTAAACTTTGTCTTCTTGGTGGGTGGGAGGATTGAAAAAAAGAATTCTTAATCACAGATGAGCCCTTAGTATAATGGAGAGCTTGGCAGACAGTAAATGGGAAGGTATTGCATTGAGAACAAGTCCTAAGGAATTCCTAGAACTTCGTAGGACTCTCCTGTGACTGAAGAGCAAGCACACTTGCCTGATCATGATGATGCTGTCGTGGGCAACAGCAGCAGCTAACATTTGTGGTATGTTTATTATGTGTTACTCCATGCGAATAGGTTGTTTGAGGAGTCTTCAGAAAGTTCATGCATTTCAGAAAAGTTTGTTTCACCAAATTCTACTTGTCCTTTAATTCCATTTTCCAAGAAATTTTTGGAGTGCCCTCGTGTAGTCGTTCGCTCTGATTCTCATAATAACCGTGTGAGAATAGGTACTAACTACTTCTTCCGTTTTGCAATGGAGGAAACTGGGGCACAAAGAAATTTTATAATTTAGACAGGGTCACTTAGCAAGGAAGTGTTCGAGCCCCAGTTTGAACCCAGGCAGCTTGTTGTCAAATCTTTGGCTTTTTGCTGCTATATCAAACACAAGGCAGAGAGTCTGGTAATTATCTCATGTTCAGTTGGGTGCTTAATATTCGTTTTCTAAATTTTTTCTACTGATAAATAAAAAGCAGGTATTTCTTCTTTGTAAAGTAGTCCTTTATATCAATAGCATCAACCTTGGTGGGTGTTCCTGCCTGATGTCCTATTGGAGTACCCACGTGCACCTGCAATCCTTGTGCTACTGGGACTGCCATCAGGCATGGCCAGTCTGGGTATGGCTTCCTTGGGGAGTATCGGCTCCCAAAGACAGCAACAGCACGTGGATCCTCTCGGGATCTTCAGCTGTCAGCATAGGGCATGGCCCGTGATCAGCCTTTCCCACACCACTGCACTTCACTGCCAGAACTTCAGAAGGTTTTCATCCTTGCCGATTCCCCCTGCATTCCACTCTTTGGCAGATGACACAATTCATTTGGAAGTAAAGCTCATTAGAACACCAATGGAAATTGTCATTCGAAGAAGAGTCATTTGGATTTTCTTGTTTAGGTAAAGAGTGAGGTCTTATAACTTGCAGGTGTAAGATGGGGTCTTATAACCCATATTCTAAATTTAAATGAACTCTGAAAATATGGATGACTTGAAGGTCCCATCTCCCTCACTGACTTCTGGTTCAGGCCCTGAGTTCTTGGCAAGGATGTCCAGATTTTGCTTTCTGCCAGCCACCCTGGTGCTTTAAAACCGGTCAGGGTTTGCCTTAACTCAAAGCAGAGGCATTTCTGCTCGCATCCTTACAGCCCTCCTTGACTGTCAGGCAGCATTACTACACACACTGAATGAGGAGCCCTGACACTGGAAGGTGGCAGCTGGGCCTGGTAACCGGTGGTGTATCATGATTTGTGTGCACTCATGTGTTCATTGGGCTCATTGGTTCTGAGGCATGAGCACTATGTATTCACAGCCTGAAGAGTTTTCTCCCCTCTCCCAAAGCCTGTTTGCAGAGAGGGCCCAGCTTGCTCTGCATAGGCATGGTCCCAAAATAGCCCTCCTATTCAGTACCCCCGTGGCCTCTACTTTAAGACTGTCTCCCCTCCACATCAGCATCCATTTGAAATCCAAAAGAAAAAATGACATACCTTTCCAGCTAAATTATTCTGTAATTATAAAATATTAGAATGGTGGGCTACTTATTGGTTGTTTCTCTTATTAATGCTAAATACTAGTAGGCCTTCTTATTTTTGAGCTTCTTTGTGGATGTTAATTCTACTGAAGAAGCATTAAGGAGAAGAAAAAATGGAGTTAAGAGGGAAATAGGAGGAGGAAAGGAACAAAGACAGGCAAAGAGTAATAGTCTAAAATTCAACAGCAAGCATAGCTTATGAAGATCAAGTTGTATTTCTGCTTCATGAATCATTGTCAGGCAAATTAAGAACATATTGTTTCTTATTTATCTATTGTGTCAAGGATTCAATATCAGACATGGAGAATAAATCTTGATTTTCATAAGCTCTGTTGACACTGTGGAGCCACGGAGCATAAAACTTGTATCTAATAAAGTGCAATATGGAAGAACAGGGGGTATACACCATCATAGCTCACAGCTGCTGCTTGCTCTTCATCCCTGCTTCCAGGAGTGATTCTTAGCAAGAAGAAAGTTTTTTTAATAGAGCAATAATTTCTTAGATCTCTTGTAAGAAAAGTTGTAGTTTCAGGTGCATTAATTCTTCCAATCTTAGAGATTGGAGATAATTATAGTCAGTGTTTGTGTGGTGAGTTCCCTTCTTTGTATCTACCCACTCCCTCATAGCCTTGCCCCTACCTCTCCCTTAGTGAGTGGTTGGTGAGTGTTTACTGCCCATTAGACATTATAGTGTCTAATGTTATGCTTGGTTAATTCATAGAGGATTCTTAGCTGCCTGAACTTCCTAGTAGAAATTTTTGTTTCGAATTCTCTAAGTTGAAATAAAATTATATATATATATATATATATATATATATTTTGGAGAGATTTTCACTGTAGGGCGCGTGCGCTCGCCAGACAGACAGAGAGAGACATAGAGACAGAAAGACGTGGGAGTCCAGCAACATAGCCATTACGCTAACTGCTGGTTCCCTTTTCCTTTGATTAAAGATAAAGGACTTTAGTATGAAAAACTGATTCATATAGATAACATAAATTTTTAAAATTGTTATAAAAGTTAAAATGTAAAGAAATAATGTAAATATTTTAAATATGTATTGAAGCATCACTTTTCTGAGCTAGCTGGTGGTAGAGTGGTCAAGGTGGCTAAATTCCACATGACTTACTGTGGTTCCAGTCTAGGACCTGGTGGCTTGAAAAACATGCCGGGCACATGAGCATATGTGCACATAAAATCTCGACAGGAGAGAAGGTGAAGGGATTGCGGCATGCCATTGCCACTGAGGTACTTTCTCACCCGCCTCTTTACACTCACCCAGTGCATGCGCCCTATAGCAAAATTTTTGAAAAACAAAAAGCAAAACATCATTTTCCTAAATTCTGTAATATCACAATTAGCATCAGTGCCCCGATACCTGAAGCTTATTTTAGACTTTAAAAAAAAAATGCTTCTCGGACTAGCAGTTAGTATAATGGCTATGTTGCTGGACTCCCATGTAGTCAACCACGGTTCGCGTCCCGGACCCGGTGGCTTAAAACTCACTCTGGGTGCATGTGCGTGCGTGCCCAAGATCCCAAGAGGAGAATGGAGGAGAAGGGATTGTGGCGTGGCCATCCCCCCTGAGGGGTGATTTCTCACTTTCTGTCTCTCTGTCTCTCTCTGTCTGGTGAGCACACGTATCCTATAGCAAAAGCCTCTCAAAAAAAAAAATGTTTCTTGTGGTATTATTCACGATTGTTAAGACATGCAACCAACCTAAATGTCCATGAGCAGATGAATGGATTGGAAAACTGTGATACATATACTCCATGGAATACTATACAGCCATAAAAAAGACCCTAACATTTGATAGAGAATTGACAAGTATGGAAGATTTATTATTGAGTGAAGCAAGTCAGGCTATGAAAGAGACACATTATATGTCTCTACTTAATATGTACTGACTCTCTGCACTCTATGGTAGAGACTGAAAGATTGGAGGGCATAAAAGCTTTGAAAATAGCTATGGACACTGGAGATAGTGTGGAAGGAGGGTGGGAGAGGGGAAAAGGGTAGGGAAGGAAATTAGGAGAAAAATAGAGAAGTAAGTAAGACATTTGTGGGACATAGAAATGGTTTATTACCTGTTGATGATAACGTGTACAGTATTCTCAACTGGACTGGTCTGAGGTATATTTCATGTTGAGTAAATTCACTCTACAAGCTAAACGATGTATAGTGATTAAATGTATACGAAAAAATAATAAAATAAATTTAAAATAGGAAAAAAAATGCTTATTTCAAACTAATGTACCATGGGGCTTGTGGGTGGTGTGGTGGTTAAGGTGCTGGATTCCCATGTGGCCAACTGCAGTTTGAGTCCTGGATCCTGTGGCTTTAAAATCACGCCAGACATGTATGCATGCTTGCCCCAAATCCTGAGGAAAAGGGAGAAAGGATTGTGCGTAGTCAACCCCACTGTGTGGTGATTTCTCACTTTTCCTTCTTTGTCTATCTCTGGTGAGCACACATGCCCTATGGCAAAACCCTTAGGTGGGGGGAAATGAAGAAAAACAGAAAGCAGGTCTGGTTTGCCAGTAAGAGTAGGAAGGATTGATTGCATAGGTGTATAAGCAGTTTGTTTTGGGTGATGGGAATGTATAAGCCTTTCAAAACTCACCTAATTTGTACACTTAAAATGAGTACATTTGAAGACCAGCAGGTAGCATAATGGTTATGTCACTGGAATCCCATATAGTCGACCATAGTTCGAGTCCCAGACCTGGTGACTTAAAATTCACACTGGGGGTGTATGCTGAGTGTGTGCTCAAGATCCCAAGAGGAGAATGGAGGAGAAGAGTTTGAAATGTGGGAGTGGGGGGGGTGATTTCTCACTTTCCTTCTCACTGTCTCTGTCTCTCTGGTGAGTGGATATGCTCCATAGCAAAAAAAAAAAGAAGAAGAAAGAAATAAAATCTCTCTTTAAAAAGTATATTTTATTGACAATAAATAATACTTGAATAAATTTGATCTTTAAACATTTTAAAACTTTCTCATTTGGTAGCATTAAACCTAGTAGAAGTTATGAGCTTTATCATAATTGTGACATTGCCCCCAATCATGTCCCACTGCTACTAAACAAGGAATGAGCTATTTCAAAGTTAGTTACGTAAAATCTAATCTAGAAGAGCAGGATAAGTCCCTAAGGAATAGGTGGAAGGGTATGGAGTATATAAGTTGTCTGAGTGTCGTAGTCGAGAATTTAATCCAACACAGGAAAAAGAGACAAACCAAAGTGAAATGGTGTCTAAGCGCACCCCAATTTCTTTTGGCTAGTTGTTGCGAAGCTCTTTGGTGAATAACAGGACTCAAGCCAAGGTAGCAGAGGAGCTGGGCATGCAGGAATATGCCATAACGAACGACAAGACCAAGAGACCCGTGGCCCTTCGGACCAAGACCTTGGCGGACCTCTTGGAATGTGAGTCCTTCAGGGAAAAGGTTTTCTTTTAACCCAAAAGTTTTGAATTTAAATCGGATTGACCAGTATTTATCTTTCTACTCATTACTATTATGTTCTGGCTAAAGAATGTCTTTTCAATTTTAATTTCCATTTCTGCTTCCCACCAAAGCTTGTTAGAAGGAGAATAATTTGAAATTAAGATATGTGAACAGTGATCTGAATGTCCAGTCTGTGGTCAGTGGTACCCAACTGCCCCACGTCCCTCCATGCTGGTGCTCAGCCATCACATCCCTTTGTGTGAAGCAGTAACAGATCAAGAAGATGGGTAATTGTGAATAGCCTTTTGCCACCCAGCAGTTTTCATGTAGGGGCACAGAAGAAAGAAGGGTAATTTTGTCACTAAATACTTAAACTGCTAAGCCATTGTTTTACCTAAATACAAAGCTCTGCAGACAAATGTCATCTTTTGCAGTTCCTGATATGGTCTGGTAGCATTATAAATAATCCTATTATAGCTAACTAAAGGATTATACACATAATTTTATTGTTTCTGATATTACTTCAAAATAAGTGGGTCATTCACTGGGCCTTAGAACTTTTTTTTTTCACGTTATGGTATTCTTGACAATTGGAATTATATACAAATATTTAAGTCTACCATGCAAAACCAGCTCATTTATGAAATGCAAAGACAATCTGACTAAGGAATTTAAAAAATTTTCTTTTTCAATTAAAAAAATTTAGAGATTAAGATTACATAAAAATGAGATCAAAAGATCAGTTTCCCTGGCATTTTTTTTCTTCTTAGCTCAATGAAAACTATTTTTATTCTTTCTCTTAAAAATGGACCATTTTTTTCACTTGGTTAAGGTAACTTTAAGTGACATCATTTTGGGGGGGTCACTGTTGAAGTAGAGTTGGATAAGTTGTTATATTGTCATTAAGATTTTCTTTTTGGACAGTTTGAATCTATAAATTATTTCGTTTCTTTCCATGACATTCTTATACGGTGGTGAACTGAAGACTAGTGTTGAGAATGACAGCACCCACGGGTGCACTTAGTCTGGTATCTTGTTTGATCCTCAAGTTGTATTTTGACTTATTTGATGTTAACATGGGTGTGTTTTCAGATACTCTTTCTCTGCTATAAGCAACATTTTGTGTATCTTTTTAACTGTTTATATAATAGCTCTTAGCTAAACACAGTTTTGTCTTTCTAGTCTATAATTTTACATCTTAATCACATATGTATGTTGCTGTTTCTCATATAAGCAATAAATAATAAAATCTCATTTTAATCAAGTCAAAATGATAATGCTAAAAAAATGAAGAGTGAATAGAAGTTGCAAACCTTATTAAAATGTCTTTTAAATGTCGGGGTCTCTTACTATTTCTGGTAAATGGCAGTGAGTTGTGGTTTATTTCAAAATGTTCTCTTTTTTGTAGCGTTTATTGCAGCATTGTACATTGATAAGGATTTGGAATATGTTCATACTTTCATGAATGTCTGCTTCTTTCCACGATTAAAAGTAAGCTCCTATAAAGTTTAAATCAGTGCTGTGCTTTATGCGTGGTGTTTCTCCAGCCGTTACTAAAGACTTTTTGGGCCTTATCACAGGAGTTCATTTTGAATCAGGATTGGAATGACCCCAAATCCCAGCTGCAGCAGTGTTGCCTGACACTGAGGACAGAAGGCAAAGAGCCAGATATTCCTCTGTACAAGTAAGTTGCTACTCACAGGCCATGCAGATGGATCCCACATCCTCAGAGTTGGTTTTCATGTTCCTTGAGGGTGGGATATTCATGACACGAGCACGCAATTGAGATGCCTGTCAGTGTGACTCTGGGCCCAACATGGAAACTCTTTTTGGTTCTCTCGATCTTAGCTGTAAGTGGGTAGTCCTGGTTAATTATCTCTGTGCTTTCTGCCTTCTCTCAAGTTCTCTGTGAACTGCCTGGTTGGCACAGATTATGGGATCAAGACAAGAACACTGGAATTAAATAGCTTATGTATACATTTTTATATTTGTCTTATTTCTAATAACTTCTCCTGGGCTGTGCATCTAGATTAGGAGGTCATCCGTGCCTATTTGCAGCACTATTTGGGCACCTCACTACACTTTCTTGGGAACCCTTCTTGGCCTCTGTCTTTGTTGCCTGCCAAATGTGCTGTCCTCTGTAGAATGTCACCATAAGAAGCAGCAAGTCGTGTGCTGCCCCTGTGTTACTCAAATATTCGGAACTCTGCTTGGAGTTGGTTAAAAACTGTCATGTACTTTTTAAAAAAATAATTACCTTTTAAATTTTATTTACCATTATTATTATTTTTAAATTGGCTACAGGTACGTAGGCTCACCAGAGAGAGAGAAAGATTGAGAAAGCAAGCTGCTAGGTCCAGGATTTGAACCACAGTTGGCCACGTAGGAGTCCAGAATCTTAACCACCATGCTACTACCTTCTGGTCTTGCTGCCATGTACTTTTAAATATCTTTATCCTTTGGGTGGTAGCCAAAAGTCACTATACCACATAACTTCTGGTTTAATGAAAACTGGAGGTTTGACTTGGAAGTAGAGTAATTATTTTGAGACATGAATATTAATTCAAAAGGTGCTTTAGAGAAATTACAAAATGAGAAGATTACTGAAATAGATGGGTTGCATCTCACAGTAATGTCTGGGTATGTGATTTTCAGGTCTGATTTCAGTACCGTTTTATCCCACTCCTGTGTACATGTGGCTACAAGCACACACACTTGCATGTGTGTTCTATATAGAATAAAATCTCCCCTTTGGACTTTCTGAAACTTTCACATACTCAAGAAAAAACACTAGGGTGTGAGCTGGGAATGTTAATTCCTTTTCCATGATTTTATTTATAAGACACAGCACTTCATAGGCTTTTTTTACTAAAAGAAAAACTGAGGCCAAGAGAGATTGAGTCACCCCCCAGCAAGCTACTATAAATTGTGCCAAGAACCTGTCACTGCTAAACAATGTTCCCTTTATTTGTTGGGGGGGAGGGGGACCCAAATGCTTAGAAATAGCACTTTAATATGTGCCTAATAAGCATAATGAATATCTACACTGTATTATATGAAAAGCTCAACGTATTTACTCATCAAAGTGATAATTAAGGTTCAATAAATAAAATGAGGATGCTAAACTTCTCATAGCACAGTCATGATTACTATAATAAGAACTACCTTAAAGAATCCACCCGTGCACTTTCATCCTGTGGAGTACATAAACACAAAGGAAATTGCTATGCTCCCTTCTCAATAAATCCCCCAAACGAAAGTACACAATGAATTTGTTCTTTTTTTTTATCAAGATGATGGGGTTGTTTTACATAGTTTTTTCAAGATTACTTTGTTCATTCCATTATCTTTGTTGGCTACTTTTAATTTCCCTTTCCCATGAAGTTATCAGTTTTACTGCATTTGAAATCTGCACCAAGCCATTAAAATCCTGAGTACCTAGAGCTTTGTGGGTTTTTTTGCCAGTTGTGTACTTGGCATTATAGCATACCTTTGAAATGATCTCAGATGTTTCAGAAATTAAATACATTTTCCAGTCTTCGAGATAAGATACTAGACATTAGAAAGAGTTCACAAAGATTTTAAAATCATTCGGGCATGGCTCAAGATGTATTGCCAAATATTTATTGTTTTTAGCTGTGATTAGTACTGAGAAATAGCGAACAACAGACTGAAGCTATTAGCTTTTCATGATACATTTGCTACCTTTATGAAATTTGCAACATGCACACTTAGAAATTGTTTAAATATATTTTACGCTGGGCTGTTAGTCTTCAGATACTATGTCAATAACTTGGGAAAAAATGTAAGAATGAGGTATAGAACTTTTAAGTTTCTACCGCAGGAGCTATATTTGTCAGATTAGCAGATAAAAATTTACCCATTTTGCTTTCTGCCATTTTCACGTTTCTTACTGGTTTTGCCTTTCTTTTTTCTTTTTTTTTTTTAAAGATCACAAAATTTAACAAATTAAATCACAAAATACATTAGATTATTTCTCCTTGTAAAATTACTTTCAAAATGATATGTAAAATGTTGGGGAGGATATGGAGAAGATTTCGCCTTTCTTTATTCAGGCAGTAAGTACATGGTTTTTCTCAGAAGTGCGTGGTAGCAATAGCAATTAAATAACACTTTGTCATGATTCCTGTTCTTTCCTTTCCTCTTTAGGACTCTGCAGACCGTGGGCCCGTCCCATGCTAGAACTTACACTGTGGCTGTGTATTTCAAGGGAGAAAGAATAGGCTGTGGGAAAGGACCAAGGTATGAGAAGATACTTTTAACTTCTTCAAATGAACAACCTGTGTGGCACGTGAGGCCTGTAAGATGTGTCAGGTCGTGTAAGACGCATCTGTCGTTTCTTATCACTACTTACTTGAGCTTTGTGGAAACGCTATCTTCTTTTAGGGAGAAGGAATTATGTATATTGTCACCTTTCTTTGAACCCTCCAATCTGTATCTTACACTGAGAAGTGATTTGAAGCCTGTCCATAAATATGAATCTGATTTTTATTCTTTTCCTTTTTAAACTTTATACTGAGAGTATTCAAACTTAAGTAAGAAATATTTCAGCTCTAATATAAGTGGAAAGCATTTTATTGCAATATTAAAAGTGTGGAACAAATAACTTAAACAGGCTTTGTGCAGATAAACGACATTCTGCATGTTCCTGTGTATGTTCCTATCTGTGCAATTCAGTATGTGACAGTTGAAGTAATCAGATGAAATTTTATGCACCAAACATGAAAATAAGCCTGAATAATTTGTAGGCATACCTTGTGTTCTTGTAGGGGAAAAAAAAAAAACCTTTAAAGCATACCTTACCTTTATTTTAATAGCATTCAGCAAGCAGAAATGGGAGCTGCAATGGATGCACTTGAAAAATGTAAGCCGATCTCTTTTTCTATAATTATATGTTCATAATGTAATGAGTGTTTTACGGAAAGAAAATGAGGAAGTAGAAAAATAGTAAGTACTGATAAAATGTGATCTTGTTTTCTTCATAGTTATTCGCCGCACACAGTATAGCAGAATGAGATATGTATAAAATGGGCTTATAATTTTTTTTAGTTGTATTCCTGAGTGCTTCTTGGTGTTCATTTCTTTCTTCTTTTTTTAAGAGTATTTTTGCTATAGGGTGCATGCACTTGCCAGAAAAGACAGAGACAGAAAGTGAGAAATCAGCCCCCCGCCCCCAGGTGGGATAGCCACGTCACAATCCCTTCTCCTCCATTCTCCTCTTGGGATCTTGGGTATGCACGCACACGTACCTGGCATGAGTTTAAGCCACTGAGTCCAGGACTCGAACTGCAGTCGATTACATGGGAGTCCAGCAACATAGCCATTACACCAACTGCTGGTCCCCCAGTTTTCTTTTTTTTGCAGAGCCCTCTTCTCAGCCCAGCTCACTCTGTAAGCAACCTATTGTGTTTCCTTCAACATATTTCTCTATACTTCTAAAATCCTAACAGACTTAGAAGCCTACATGAGGTTTTTTTTTTTTTTTTTTTTTTTCCTGTTTTTGGCCGTTGTTTTATTAAAATGAGAAGATATTTACATACTTTTCTTCATTTCTCTTTTCTTGATAATATATCATGGGTAGCCTTGCAAGGCATAGGAAGCAATCCAGATTCGTTCTTTCTTAATGGTTGCATAATATTTCCTGCTCTGAGCATGCTGCGTTTTACTCAGCTTTTTTATTGTTGGCAGATACTTTGTTTCTGTTTGTTTTTTTTTTCCAATTATTACTGTCAATAATAAGTCTATATATTGGTGCTTTTAGTTATGTGGGATAGATTCCCTAGAGTGGGGTGCCTGGGTTGAAGAAACTTCAATTAATTTTAGGGAGCTGCATAGTCTCTTGTAAATCGAAGGCCTAAGTGCAAGGATTTTTCTGAGGTTTATTGTGCTGCACAGCAGAACCTGTGGGCACAACACAACAGGGCAGTTCCATTATGCTTCAAGTACCCAGCCAAACAAGCTGGGAGCGAGCAGAGTGCGGGAAGCTAAGAGTGAGCAGGCCCAGGGTTCGTGGCCGTGAGAGATTCCAGGAAAGGCAAAGGGCCGAGAGCCAAGTGGAAACCAGCAGACAATCGCTTTCTGTTTGGGGGGTTGTCAGGGTAGGGGGCAGTTAGATAGTGGTACAGACACTTGTGCTTCCAGGATCCTGCATTCGTGGAATCGTCACCTAAAGTTTTAGGTTGACTTTTTCAGAACTTTCCATACATCATATATATAAACGCATAATCACATATTGAAATAAAAGTGACATTCCATTTTGCACTTATGAAATTGTTAAAGGTTATGTTTGGAGGATATGTTTGTTAGTTGTTTGTTTTCAACTATAAAGCAGTACCAGGGTCAGCCGGTGGCATGGTGGTTAAGGGCTCTGGACTCTCACATGGCTGATCATGGTTCGAGTCCCAGATCTGGTAGCTTGCTTTCTCATTTTTCCTGTCTCTCTCTCTCACTGTCCCTCTCTGGTCACATCAAAAAGAAAGAAAGAAAGGAAGGAAGGAAAGGAAGGAGAGAAAATTAAATAAAATAATTCTTTTTAAAAAAAATAGCAGTGCCAGAAATATCATCTATTCGGAGACAGACTCTGGATACGTACTGGTAGGAGTGAGTTGTCTGAGCTGCTGGAAAGCAGTTTGGCAACATGTATCAGGGCCTTATAGACGTTCACACCCTTCGATCCAGAGGTTTCATTTCTAGGTATCAAACCTAAGGAGCTACTTGGAGTTATGCACTAGAGTTCACATACTTCATGACAACTTGATTTACAGTAACCAAAAAAGGAACAACAACAAAAATCAAAATGCACACTTAATAGTAGGGAAGTGTGTAATAAATTATGGTATATCCCAGGGATTGGCAAACATTTTCTGTAAAGAGCCAGATGTAAGAATTCTAGGCCACTCAGGCCATACAGTCTCTGTCTTTGCTATTCAGCGCTGCATGACAGCCTATAGGTACAGCTAGTATGCAAATAAATTGGTATGTCTGTGTTCCAATAAAATTTATTTACAAAAGAGGGAGAGGGTTGTGTTTGACCTTTGGCAGTAGTTTACCAACCTTTGCTATATTCAAATGTTGTGATGTTTTACAGCAATTAATAGAAGCAATCATTTGATAACTAGTTAAAGGAAGATGCTGCTAGAATAAGTGAAAAAAAAGTACCTGTAAATACATACTTATACCGTCTTCTCCCAGTGTAAAGGTAAAGGGCAATGATTTTAAATGCTCATAGGTCTGCGTAACATACGTTCTCGGAAAAGTTGCTATGCGTTTTTCATAGAAAAACAAAAATCCATCACAGCTTTTCCCGACAACCTAATAAAAAATATACATGCAAAACATTTGTCGAAAAATGAAATTAAGTAACAGTTTATTTTGTGAAAATTTTCTTGAAATCCATGTGTAGTTTTTTAATAAAAACTTTTTGAAGATTCCCTTGTAAATATTTTTCAGTTTTCTATGAACATTTTAAAGTCTTCTCATAAGAAGACCTGTGATTTACACAAGGAATCCATTTAGTATCATTTAGGAATAGGGTAAATATAGATGTCATCTTCCTCTTTTTAAAATAAGTCACTGTTGGGACCAGCAGTTGGCGTAATGGCTATGTGGCTGGACTCCCATGTAGTCTACTGTGGTTCGAGTTCCGGACCTGGTGGCTTAAACTCACGCCAGGTGCATGTGCGTGCATGTGTGCCCAAGATCCTGAGAGGAGAATGGAGGAGAAGGGATTCAGGCATGGCCATCCCCCCTGGGGGGTGACTTCTCGCATTCTGTCTCTCTGTCTCACTTTTCTGGTGAGCACACTTGCCTTATAGCAAAAACTTCTCTCTCTCTTTCTCTCTCTACATATATATATATAAATGTCACTTACTCTCAGACATTGAGAGTAAGTCTTCGCCGATTCACTCCTTGACTTTCAAATACTTTTCCTACCATTCTCTTCCTGTCCCTGCTTCAGCTTCGGGGGAAGATGGGACACTATATATATAAAAGGAGAAATAAAGAAATAAAGAACACTTCACTCTTAAAACAAATAAACTTGTTTCCTCGCCCCCAAACATGTCATGTTCTCCCACATCTGATTCTTCACATGTTTGAAACAAGTACCACCTTCATTCTAGAACAGTCCTTTAGGTCTGTGTTTTTTCTACGTAACCAGATAACTCATGTAGTTCTCATCCATGCCTGTGTCCTTTTATATACATTTTTAAATTAAATATATAAAGTGATTATTTCTTGTTCTATGCTTGATTTCTTTTTTAAAAAAAATTATTTTATTATTGAACTTTATTTATTTATTTACTTTACTTTGACTTAGAGAGGGACAGAGAGAAAGAGAAAGAGTGAGAAAGCAAGCTGCCAGGTCTGGGACTTGAACCACGTTCAACCATGTGGGAGTCAAGTGCCCTTAACCACCATACCACCTGCTAGTCCCTTTTCTTCTTCTTCTTCTTTTTTTAAGTATTATTTATTCAGTTTTATTTATTTATTATTATTCTTCAGTTTGACCAGAGAGACAGAGAGAAAGAGAGAGAGGGAGAGTAAGAAAGTGAGCTGCCAGGTCCAGCACTTGAACCATGGCCAGCCATGTGGGAGTCTAGCACCTTAACCACCACACCACCTGCTGGCCCCTTATGCTTGATTTTTTACTTTGTCCTTAAACTAAAGTTATTCCACAAGTGACAACAGAATCGCAACATTTCTAAATCCTAGTTTTGTTTGTTTTTCATTTGCCAGGGGACATGTGTACTTGACAGATAGAGAAGGTGACAGAGAAAGAGAGGGAGGGAAAAGGAGAAAGCACCCTTCTTCAGTTCTTCACCCTGTCAGGATTCTGGACATGCACACACATGTACCTGGTATATTTTTCAAGCTGCCGGGGCCAGAACTGAAACCATGTGGTTAACCACATGGGTTCTAGCTGTTTTAACCTCCAGGCCATGGAGCCAGCCCTCTAAATCTTTTTTTTTTTTTTTTTTTTGCCATATGGTGTGTGCACTCACTGGAGAGAGACCATGGAGGAGAGACAGTGAGAGGGAAAGTGAGAAATAACCCCCCTCCCCGAGGGGGTGGCAGTGCCGCAATTCCTTCTTCATTCTCCTCCTAGGATTATGAGCACGCATGTGCATATGCCTGGAGTGGGTTTTAAGCTGCCAGGTCAAGGACGGACTGGAACCATGGTCAGCCACGTGGGAGAGTACCTCACCTTCACCACCACGCCACCTGCTGGCCCCTAAATCTCAAGATTTCTGTTGTGTCAACACAGTTGCTTAGAGTTAGTTATCAGCTGATATAGCTTTGGGCAATGGGTTTCTGCTAACCAAAGCCATCAAATGATGAGTTTTTTTTAACCAAACGAGTGAATGTTCTCCACTTGAGTCACATTTACAAATACAGCTTTGGACCTCTTACAGTAAACTTTAAAAATAAGAACAATTATCAGACAGAATGACTTCAAATGTGGCCTCCTTTTGTCCATCTGATATTTTTTGGTTTTTTCTTGGTTTTGATTTTTGGTAAATAATGTTATGATAATAACATCACTTGAAGATTTTGTTTGAATTTGTCAAAAATATACTCCATTTAACTGTATCCTTTAATTGCTCCTTGAAAATCACTTGTTGCCAGGAGAAGAATGTTAAAGCACCTGGTTGAAAACATTTCACAACGGTTGTCCATGTTTTCAAATGACATATGTTTTGGTGCCTTTTGTACTCAAGTTCACATCAGAAATTGAAATCAAGAATCAGGGGTGCTGATCCAGACTTCCAACAGGTTCTGAATGAGAAAAGAATCAAGGAAGAAAAGGAGCAAGTTTTGTTTTGTTTTGTTTTGTTTTTAATCTTGCCTGACGAAATGCAACTTGATCCATTTCATACGACTATATGTATGTGTATATGTATGTTTAGTTTGTATATTTCTTTGCGTAGGTGGCTATTCTTTATTAAGTGTAAAACATATCTCCTTGTGTCAGATAACTTTCCCCAGATGGCCCATCAGAAGCGGTTCATTGAACGGAAATACAGACAGGAGTTGAAGGAGATGAGGTGGGAAAGAGAGCATCAAGAGAGAGAGCCTGATGAGACCGAGGACATGAAGAAGTGAAGGTGGGCGCGGAAGTGCTGGCGGATCGACTCGCTAAGAAACTGACTGCTGCCCCTGGAGGCCCCGCCTCGTTTCCTCCAGGCACTGAGTGAAGTGTGCCCACTGAAATAAAACACACAGTCAGATCGCTGCTGTGGTTTTAGTGATCGGATATTGTTTGTAGCAGGATGATCTTTAGTACAAAGCGTTTGGTTTCCAGTTAATGAACACTTCACTCAGGTAGATGTGCGTGATTCCCTTTTATTTTGCCCTTTGAACAATAAAATTCAAGAGATCATCTTCTATGTGGAATAGATACCATTTTTCTCTCCGTCTCAGATGGTGACCCCAGACTGTCAGCTGACAAGTGAAAAAGTCACTTGACCAGATATTTTTACTTCACTCCAATATCTCTGTTTTTTGAAATCTCTGGATTACGAAGTGAATGTTTTGGCTTTCATCTCAATGTTTATCAAGTTGTCAGCTGCAAATTACTGAATTTTCCCCACCCTAAGCAGTGAATTCTTTGTAGAAGGTATCTATTTAATGTTTAACTAGGTGGGGGGACAGACAGAAATTTGAGTCATGTACATTTTTTGAATTATTAGAATAGGAGAGAAATCATGATTCTAAATCAGGCCACATTTTAAACCAAGTGCTCTCACTCTGGAGAGAGTGAACCTTTCCAAAAGTTTATAGACAGACTTCAGAGAAGTCTCAACCTCCAAAATTGTATTTCATTTCATGTGTGTGTGTGTGTGTGGGCTTGGGAGGGGGTACGGAACAGTGGGAGGAGGGTTCATCAGCTTCTCCAAGTGGTCTCTAAAGTAAAGGACTAACATTACATCGAAAGACACGACTTTAAAAGAAATGTTATTTTAAACTGAACATGACTGGTTTCTTATTAATAAATGCAAAACTTGTTTGTAACACCAGTGTGTTTTCATTCATTTTTCAGCCAGTATTATTTAGTGAGTACCTACTATGTACCAGGTGCTTTCCTGGGCTCTGGGGCTATAGCAGTGAACAAAACATTTATATATAACAATTGTTGATGATTTTATATGTGTGTGTGTGTGTGTGTATATTTTTTCCCCATTTGTGATAGAGTGCATGCACACATGTGCAAGAGAGAGGAGCATATTCCACAGGGCTGAGTCACGCCACAGTCTCCTCCCTCCAGTACTCCAGCCTGCCTGGGGTTCTGGGCATGAAGGCATGTACCTGGCATGTTTTCAGCCAACCAGGCTGGGGACTTGAAGCACAGTTGGTTGTGGCCTCTAGCTTTGCAGTCTAGTATGCTACACAGTTGGCTGTGGCCTCTAGCTTTGCAGTCTAGTATGCTACTGATTGTGCCACAGAGGCTGGGCCAGTGGCTACATACTAATGCATATCTTTTGTGCCAATTACGGATATACCATAAGTTATTAACCAATCTAATGAAAGATGTGTATGTTGTATGCACTTTGTTGTGTGCTTCTGTCACAGAGCTGCCACATACACCTTTGAGGGTGTGTACGTACACGTGTACATAAACATGCACATATATTAGGGAGAGAGCGAGAGAAGACTGTGCTAAAGCTTTTTATTAATTTGTTAATCATAAAAAATATAAAATGGTGCCCATAAGAAAAGGTTGTCCTGGGGCCCGTCCTCCCCACTAGTGATGCCCCAGAAAACAACTTAGCAGGCCACCTCCTGCCCAATTCAGCCCAGCCGTACCCAATCTTGTACATTCTGTGTGTGGGTTTGCAGCACTGTTAAACACAATCCTGTTAGCTCCAAAACTGTACACACATGACTTGTGTGAGAGTGTATTTTTGAAATCAACTCATTCCTGGCCACAAGAGTCTTTTTTTCATAACCTTCATCTAAAAGTTTAAGAAAAACACAAGCATACACACAGTCATGTCCAAGGGGGAAAGAATGAACGGTTTCCACAGAGGACATCCTGTCTGAGAGCGATGCCACTAGCTTAGGGACAGTGCATGGCTTAGTTTCCACCCAGAACAGGCTCTGATGGCTGAAAGGAAAAAGAAAAGAAAAACAAGCTGTGCCCCCCCCAAAGAAAAAGGCAAAACACTGTCATATACCAAACAGAAACACAATTGTTCCTCTTTGTGATTCTTTTTCTTTCCTCTCACAATTTGGACACTATGGTTTCTCTCACAAAGGCTGTTCAAAGACCAGTTTGTATCCATGAAGTGCACAACTCCGTCATCCCAACGCTTTCTATTTTTCTAGGAAAAAAAAAAAAATCACGTTCTGGTTCTGATCAGAAGAGCTAGTAAAAGTGTAAGTTCATACACTAACTCGGTTAACTGCTTGTTCAGTGCTGTTGGTCATAGAGGCTTAATATAAAGGCTTCTCATAAATCACTTGGGGTCTCCTTGGGGAGACAATTCAATGATAGTGTACAGTACGCTCCTGACAGATTAGGAAGTGAAGGAGGGAGCGTAGGCCAGGCAGGGAAAGCTTCACAGAGTTAGCATGTGGATTCACTGGACCTTCATGAACAGTCGCTTGCAAGGTGGGGAAGGACAAAACTTAGGAAGCAAAGAGAGAGAAGGGCAAGAAAATGGGCTAGGAGCCTGCTTGGTCCATTCAAGCTGCTATAATAATCCTGTAAACCTGGTGGCTGTGACATAGCTGAAATTTTTGTATTACAGTTCTGGAAGCTGGGAAGTCTAAGGTCAAGGTTTAGCAGGTTGGTGTCTTGCCCACTTCTCAACAGTGTAAATGGTGAAAGGAGCAAAGCAGCCTTCTGGACTTTGGGGAGTCTTTGTCCTCATGACCTAGCCCTCTGTCTCCTAAAAGGACTCCCCCCAATAGCATCACAGTGGTGATCAGATGTTCAGTATATGAACTTGGGGGGATAGAAACATTCAGACCATAGCAGACCCAATTGTGATAGTCCATGAGAGATGTGGTGAAGACTCAGAACAAAGAAACAGAAATTTGAGTGCTGGTAAAGAACAGATTGGGAGAATTCATGGAAAGTAGAACCTATGGGATGTGGAGTAAGAGGGTATCCCAGCTTAGCACTGTCGACACTTAGGGGCAGGTAATTCTTTATTGGGACCAAGGAGACTGTTCTATGCATTCACTAGGCTGTTTAACTGCATTCCCGGATACTCTTGGGGTGCCTGTAATATCTGTTCTAGTAGGGACAACTGAAAATGTCTCCAGACATTGCTGAATATCCTCTGGGGGCAGAGTCACTCCTGACTGAGATCCACTGGGATAGGAGAAGAAAAACAACTCGGCCAATTTTTATTCCATCAAGACACAAACCACTTACAGAAAAGGTCTTTAGTTGTCTGAGGTGAGCTTAAGGGAACACAGGGATGTCTTTGCCAAGATGTGAAATAGTTCAATATGTGGCTTTGTAGTCCAATGAAGACTCTTGTACTGAAGTTCAGATTAGAAATGGACTCAAAAACATCAGTGGAATATGTCCATCTCTGAAAGAGACCATTGCTGGTTGGACTTTATGCAAGAGAGAAATTGCAAGATAAGCCCCTGAGATTTGGGGATTTGTCTATTACAGCAGTTAGCATTACCTTCACTAATGGAACGGTTGAGGCAGGCACTTAACTCTAATAATGTGTTTGCCAGTTCAACCACATGAAAAGGACGCGCTTACCCACCTGTTACGGAATGCCATACTGAGTCAGTGCTGTTGTGGTCCTTATTATTGTTCAGAAATGTCCCTACTCTTAGATGAAAAGGAAATTGAAAATGTAATAACCATGAAATTCTCGTGAATTGGGGTTTTGAGAACATGCTGCATTCTAAGATTTATTTTATCGGTGTTGGTAGCATCTTAGGCGTAAAAGACTAAAAGCAGAGTCCTTGTTCTTAGGAGTACACTAGAAAGGGAGACACGGGCACTTATATAAGGTGCTCTACAGAAGATCAGAGAGCACAGTTCATTCCTTCTGGAAGATGGAGTTCAGTTTGATCTTGGGTGATTTAGTCCACCAGGCCATTGACTACCTTACCATACTCACCAGGACAAAAAGACTTTCAGGTTGAACATATATATATTTTTTTAAAGATTTAATTCAAGGGGCTGGCAGGGGGTGTGGTGGTTAAGGGCACTGAACTTCCACCTGCCCGACTGTGGTTCGAGTCCCAGACCTGGCAGCTTGCTTTCTCACTTTCTCTCTCCCTCACTCTATCCCTCTCTGCTCAAATTAAAATAAATAAATAAAATAATTACTTAAAAATATTTAATCCTATTTAATTTATTTATTTTAAATTTTGAACACACAGACATAGAGAAAGTAAGCAAGCAGGCTGCCAGATCTGGAACTCAAACCATGGTCAACTATGTGGGAGTCCAGCACCATAACCACCACACTACCTGCTGGCCTTGAACTTATTTTTTAACCACAATATCATTATGACACCTAACATAATTACCAAACCCTTCTTAATGACTTCTAGTAGTCCATAATCAAATGTTCAACTCATGTGTACAAATAACGATCCCAACAGGATCTACACATTATCTTTGTTTTTCATCTCATTTAAGGCATTAATCAAGAACGGGCCTCCATTTCCTTGTTCTTCATGACTAGTTGTAGAAATCACATCCACTCCATAGAATTGCCCACATTCTGCATGGGACCCACTGGCCCGTTGCTACCTTGTGCTGTCATTTGATTTTTTTCCTTTATTCTCTGTGTTCTACAACCCATTTTAGGTTTAGGTTCCAAATGTGAGGCAAATGTATATTTTGAGATTGCCCCCTCAAACAAACAAACCCGGTAATGATCTCAATAGTGTTATTGTCAAATCAATCCTTTTGGGTAATAAAAAATTGTGTTGGTTAACTTTATGTGCCAATTTAGGTAAGCAGGTGCTATTTTAAGCAGCTAAGTTTGGGATCATGTGTTACACAGCTATAGGAAACAAATCCATTTCCATTCTCTTACACAGCTCATCTCATATTTAAAATATTCTGTGCATTCCCCTTGTCTGTAGAATAAGGCCCATGTTCCTTATGATAGCATTCAATTCCCTCATGAGCAGGCATCAGCTGCTTCTGGCTTCCACCCCCACACGTCACTCTCCAGTCTTACTAACCTGGTTGCAGCTGTTTAAACACATTCTGCTTTCTCTCTCCTCTAGGACTTTGCACTGCCTGAAATAGGCTTCCTCCTTGTGAATTATTTCTTACTCATCTTTTTGGCCTCAGCTCAGGTACCATCTCCTGCAAACTTTTCCCAAGACCTTAAATTTAGGTTCAGTGTACACTCTTGGACTGAAGAGTGTACACTTTTTGTCTGACTCTTTGTCTAGACTGTATTATCACCATCTTGACTGTAGGCTTCTGGTGTGCAGGACCATCACAAATCCACTTAGGCACCGTGGCTCCCAGCATAGTGGCTAGTTCTTCCTCATTCTCTCCATTACTGTCTGCTGAATAAAAATAACTGGGCTCTTCTTTGCTGTTCAGCTACCCTAAATTGGAACTCAGGCTTCCTCCAAGTACCCCGCTGCTCATGCTTCCAGGTCCCTGCACTTGGATTCAGTCCGGAGCTCTATGCTGGAACGGGACAGACAACGTGAGCCCCCAGGAAGAAGCATTGGAGCTGATCTTCTCTTGTTTTCTGTGGCCTTGTCTCTCCAAGACAGGAGTTCATTTAAAATAGACAAAGCTGATGAATAACAGGTCCAGTATCATGTGTGTGTGTGTGTGTGTGTGTGTGTGTGTATTGTTATTTTGTTTTTACCTTTTAAAAAGAAAAAAAAAGAAGACAAGGTTTCACTGTGTCAAGATCCACCTGCCTCAGCCTTCTTAGTAGGTGGGACTACAGGTGCATGCCACACACCTGGCTTTTTAGGGTAGGCCAGGAATGGAGCCTAAGCCTCCCATGTGGCCTTAGCCTGCAAAGCAGCAGCATCCAACATGTTACTGC